AGCCCAGGTAGGGAGCCCTCGCGGGAAGGGGGCGGCGGGCAAGAAGGGGCCAGAAGCGGGGCAGCCAACGCCAGCCTGGGGAATTCCTGGAGATCTGGGGGCTGTGCCCGTGGAGGACAGAGGAATAAGGGGAGTGGTTTCACCAAGACTCTAGGGCAGGGGTTTGAGCATCCCTGGCAAAGTGTTGGTCCAGCCGCTGCGTAGAGACTGCCAGGGAGGGGGAGCTCACCACCTCCCCAGGCAACTGATTCTGCTGTCCATATAATCATAGAATCACAGAGTTGGAAGGGGCCACAGAGGGCATCTAGTCCAACCCCCTGCTCAATGCAGGATCAGCCTCGAGCATCCCTGGCAAGTGTTGGTCCAGCCGCTGCGTAGAGACTGCCAGGGAGGGGGAGCTCACCACCTCCCGAGGCAGCTGATTTGCACGCAGGAGGCCCCAGGTTCGAATCCTAATATCTCCTGTTAAGGGATCTTGGGTAACAGCAAAGGCCTTCCTGGGCCTGACGCTCGCCATGAGGATGATGCAGAAGAACCAGTGGTGGTCAGACTTGGGAGAGTGCAGTTTCCTACATTCAGTTCAGGACCGGGGAAGAATTGTGCCCCCGTTGTGGTAACAGGGGTAGGGTTAGAAAGACACACGCCCGATGTCCCCTGTGCCCAGCTAACCCTCGGGACCCTTCCCACAGGCATCGAGCCGCACGGCAACACAGTGCTGAAGCCAGCCCATTTCACAGTGGAAACCATCGAGGCCGGCTTGGGCGAAGTGCTGGTCTACATCGAAGACCCGGAGGGACACACCGAAGAGGTACCAGGCCTGGGTGCTGCTGACGTTCTTCGGCCCCCCCCCCTCCAGCCCTTTCCCCTTTTTAAATCCCACGCGTCTTTGAGGGTTTGTGGCCTCTAGCAAATAGGGATGAGAGGCGTGCAGAACGAGTCGGCCGCCTCTGCCTGGGATCTCTGCTTCCCTGTTCTGGCAGACTCGCCTGTGTTGAAAAGCAGGTCTCGACACGGGGTGGGGGGTGGAATGCTCAGTTTTCAGGGGGAGATGTTGTCTTGCCCCGGGGGGTTGGCCCAAAGGGGGGGGGGCCGCGGGGGGGGGGGTGCCCGAAGGCAGGAGAGGGGTGGGAGGGAGCATTACGAAACGGGCCTGGCCTAGGGCTGGTTTGCGACCCTTTTGGAGCCAGAAGCAGAAAAGAAGAACGTCAGAACTGCAGAGAGCCCTGCTGGATCAGACCATTGGCCCATCTAGTCTAACATCCCGTCCCACACAGCCTCTGGAGGGCCGACAACAGGGCAGAGAGGCCGAGACCTTCATAAGAACATCAGAAGAGCCCTGCTGGATCAGACCAGTGAGGGTCCATTTAATCCAGCCTCCTGTCTCACACAGTGGCCAACCAGTTCCTCTGGAGGGCCAACAACAGGGCAGAGAGGCTGAGACCTTCATAAGAACCTGAAAAGAGCCCTTCTGGATCAGACCAGTGAGAGTCCCTCTACTCCAGCATCATGGCTCACCCAGTGGCCAACCAGTTCCTGTAAAGGTTCATAGAATCACACAGAGTTCGAAGGGGCTGTAGAGGCCATCTAGTCCAACCCCCTGCTGAATGCAGGATCAGCCTAGAGCATCCCTGACAAGGGTTTGTCTAGCTACTGCTTAAAGACTGCCAGGGAGGGGGAGCTCAACTTTAATACAATATCAACAACAGGGCAGAGAGGCCGAGGCCTTCATAAGAACTTCAGAAGAGCCCCGCTGGTCAGACCAGGGAGGGCCCATCCAGTCCAGCATCCTACCTCACCCAGTGGCCAGCCAGTTCCTCTGGAAAGCCAACAACAGGGCACAGAGGCCGATGCCTTCATAGGAACATCAGAAGAGCCCTGCTGGTTCAGACCAGTGATCCATCTAGTCCAGCATCCTGTCTCACCCAGTGGCCAGCCAGTTTGTCTGATAAGCCAACAACAGGGCAGAGAGGCCGAGGCCTTCAGAAGAGCATCAGAAGAGCCCTGCTGGATCAGACCAGTGAGGGTCCATCCAGTCCAGCATCCTGTCTCACACAGGGGCCAACCAGTTCCTCTGGAGGGCCAACAACAGGGCAGAGAGGCCGAGGCCTTCATAAGAACATCAGAGTAGCCGTGCTGGATCAGACCAGTGAGGGTCCATCTAATCCAGCATGCTGTCTCAGACAGTGGCCAACCAGTTCCCCTGGAGGGCCAACAAGAGGGCATAGAGGCCGAGGCCTTCATAAGAATGTCAGAAGAGCCCTGCTGGATCAGACCAGTGGTCCATCGAGTCCTGCATCCTGTCTCATATAGGGGCCAACCAGTTCCTCTGAAGGCCCAACAATAGGGCAGAGAGGCTGTGACCTTCAGTTGAACCTCAGAAGAGCCCTGCTGGATCAGACCAGTGAGGGTCTATCTAGTCTAGCATCCTGTCTCACACAGTGGCCAACCAGTTCCTCTGGAGGGTCAACAATAGGGCAGAGATGCCAAGGACTTCATAAGAGCATCAGAAGGGCCCTGCTGGATCAGACCAATGAGGGTCCATCTAGTCCAGCCTCCCGTCTCACACAGGGGCCAGCCAGTTCCTCTGGAGGGCCGACAACAGGGCAGAGAGGCCGAGGCCTTCATAAGAACATCAGAAGAGCCCTGCTGGATCAGAGCAGTGAGGGTCCATCTAATCCAGCATCCTGTCCCACTTAGTGATCAACCAGTTCCCCTGGAGGGCCAACAAGAGGGCATAGAGGCTGAGGCCTTCATAAGAATGTCAGAAGAGCCCTGCTGGATCAGGTCAATGAGGGTCCACCTAGTCCACGTCGTGTCTCACACAGTGGCCAACCAGTTCCTCTGGAGGGCCAACAACAGGGCAGAGAGGCCGAGGCCTTCATAAGAACATCAGAAGAGCCCTGCTGGATCAGGCCAATGAGGGTCCATCTAGTCCAGCATCCTGTCTCACACAGAGGCCAACCCGTTCCTCTGGAGGGCCGACAACAGGGCAGAGAGGCCGAGGCCTTCCCCTGATGTTACCTCCTGGCTCTGGGATTCAGAGGCTTAGTGCTTCTGAATGTGGAGTTTCCCTTTAGCCACCGTGGCTAGTCGCTACTGATAGACCTCTCCTCCAGGAATCTGTCTGATCCCCTTTGAAAGCAGTTTATTCCCGTCGTCATCACTACATCCTCTGGCGGCGAATCCCACATTTTAATCACTCTCTGCGTACAGTAGTGTTTCCTTTTGTCCACCCTGAACCTACTGCCCGTCACCTTCATTGGATGCCCTCAAGGTCTAGTCTTTTGGGAGAGGGAGAAAAAGTTCTCATTGACCACTCCCTCCACCCCATGCGTAATTGTATAACCCTCTGTCATGGGTATGACCCCCTCCCCAATATTAACAATGTGGTACAGTCCAGTGGGATTTTCTCCAGAGAAGGCACAATCGAACGGGTTCTTCTCTGTGAGCCACACTGAAATGAACTGGAGGTGTGCAGTGTGGTAGGTTTCAGTGCGCTTCATGCACAAGAACAGCGGCCGAATTGTGCTCCACGTGCTCAGTTCTGTCTAACCCTGGACCTGCCTCCCCCCGCCCCTTTTGGGATGTTTCTGGAGCAGCTATTGGGGGGGGGGGAACGTGCAGATCTGTCCTCACAGAGGAGGGAGAGCTCGTACCTGAATAAAACTTGGTCTTAAAGGTGCCACTGGACTGTTTTGGGCCGGGGGGGGGGGCGCTCTGCAACTTACCTGGCTGCTTCTTGCTCTGACTGAGGGCTGCTGGGAGCAGAGGGCGGGGCTTGTTGCATGTGCCCGCCCCCTGGGCTCTTTACTGCCGGAGCTCCGCTCCCGTGCGCTCCTGCAGGAAATGACCCCCGAGGTCCCTCCGCAAAGATTCCAGGTGTCCGGATGACCGTCTCCCCCTTCTCTCTCTCTCCAGGCCAAAGTGGTGGCGAACAATGACAAGAATCGGACGTATTCTGTCTCCTACATCCCGAAGGTGGCCGGCCTCCATAAGGTGAGCGGTTCCCTCCCCATGCCGGCATCTCTGTTTTGGCCCGTGAGCCTGTAGATCGGTCAATATGGATCCTGTCGTGGATGGATGGCGGGCAGAGACAGCTGATGGGGCAGTTGGCTTGGCATACAGATGAGTCCAGCAACTAAATAAATTATAAATAAATGAGCTGTAGGAATCCTGCCTTGGCCTGGAGGGCCCAGGCTAGGCCCATCTCGTCAGATCTCAGAAGCTAAGCAGGGTCGGCCCCGGTTAGTATTTGGATGGGAGACCACCAAGGAAGCCCAGGGTTGCTACGCAGAGGCAGGCAATGGCAAGCCGCCTGTGATAAGTCTCTTGCCTCATAATCCTATGAGGTTGCCATAAATCTACTGCAGTGTGACAGCCCTTTCCGATCACCAAGGATCCACCTGTTGAAATTCTCTCTGTCATAGACTTCTTAGGACCACAGAGCTCCTGTCAGGAAGAAATATGGTATTGTACAAGCTCAGAGCATCCGCAGGTTTGCCCTATAAGCACAGAATCCATTGTCCAGCAAGGGAATGTGGCACGTTAAAAATCAAACTTTAGAATGAACAAAATAAAACAACCTCTGTAAAGTTTCCAGACCTCCTGGTAGTGGAGATTAGTGGTTGTGGTTCTCCCCTCTTTTCCGTTTTTCCTGGCCATCATCTGCCCTTCCTTCCTTCCTTCCTTCCTTCCTTCCTTCTCCTGTCAGGAAGAAATATGGTATTGTACAAGCTCAGAGCATCCGCAGGTTTGCCCTATAAGCACAGAATCCAGTGTCCAGCAAGGGAATGTGGCACGTTAAAAATCAAACTTTAGAATGAACAAAATAAAACAACCTCTGTCAAGTTTCCAGACCTCCTGGTAGTGGAGATTAGTGGTTGTGGTTCTCCCCTCTTTTCCGTTTTTCCTGGCCATCATCTGCCCTTCCTTCCTTCCTTCCTTCCTTCCTTTCCTTCCTTCCTTCCTTCCTTCCCCCCCTCTGCTAAAAAATTCTTTATCAATAGGAAAATTTTACAAAATTTAATTTATCTCTTCATAGTGTGATATAAAAGCTGTAACAAAAAATGAGCTAAATAAACCGAGAGAAGAGGGAGGGGAAATTTCAACCCAGGACCTAAGAGGGTTTTATCCAACAAACTGGCACCTGCAATTGGATCCGTCTCGAATTATTTCTTCGACTTGAATCTTGTGGAGAAATAATTTATAAAACAATTGACGAATTGGGGTCTCAGTACATTGAAATAATTCATACATTGTTGGAAATGTAAGCACAACGTAGGAACCTTTTACCACATGAGGTGAAGGTGCAATATAACTCAAAAATATTGGCGTAAAGTACAAAAAATGATATTAGAAATATTGGATATAGATATACCATACATACCAGAAGCTATTTTGTTAAATGTGCTACCTGATAACATTAGAAAAAATGATCAATATGTAATAACATATATATTAACATCTGCTCGCATTGTATTTGCAAAATATTGGAAATCAGAAAAAAATCCCATCAATTGTTGGAGATAGCTGAAATGGATAAAATAACAATAATA